GGAGGAGGAGGAGGAGGAGAAGCAAGTTCTAGTGCCTACCGGAGAGCAGGAGGACATTCAGGGTCACGTCGTGGAGAAAATCCTTCCATTCCTCCTCAAACACATGACGGAGAAGGTCTCGACGCTGGGGAGGGAAGAGAAGAGGGTTCAGCAGGGGAGACTGAGGGGTCAGATAGCGCTTGCAGTGGTCAGGACGCTGAAGCTCCTTCCTGAACAAATGCTTCGCTCCCGTCTCCTCCTCGTCGTCGGCGTCGTGTGCAACGCCCTCCGGTCGAGGGAGCAGGGGGACAGAGACAATGCAAGGAAGACGCTGGCAGAAATAGTCCGGTGCCTGGGCCCCTTCTACCTCAACTTCGTCCTCACAGAGGTCAAGCATGCTCTTCCTCTGGGTTACCAGCGGCATGTTTGCGGCTACACCATCTACTCTCTTCTTGAGTCCCTTGAGAGCATCTTAGCTGGGGAGCACCTGGTCCCCAGCATGCCTCTGATCCTCGAGGTGTACACGAGGGAGCTTGTGGGAGAGCTGGCAGAGGAGAAGGAAGTGGACAAGATCGCGCAGAAGCTGCGAGAGGCGAAGAGCACGAGAGCTTTCGATGCCGTCGAGCTGATCGGGCGATGCCTGAGCTTCGAGCTGGTGGAGACAACCGTCCTCCTGCCCGAGCACGAGTACGCACTGAGGAAGACGATCCTGGACGCGGGAAGCCTCAAAGTCAGGAGGAAGATGGAGGAGTTGTTGAGGAGACTGGGGATGGGACTGGCGGCCAACCCGTCGGTCAGCGACGCCAAGATGCTGATATGGGTGCACCAGTACGTCGATCGGTACCTGCCGTCCTGTCTGCCTCCTGCCAAGGGAGCAGGGAAGGAGAAGAAGGAGGGCAAGAAAGGGAAGGAGGAGGTGGGAACGGGAGGAGGAGCTGTTGGGGAGGCAGGGCAGAAGAGGTCGAAGCTGCTGGAGAAACGGCCAGAACCTGCTGAGAAACTTCCCCCGCTCGGCCCAGCGTGGGAGAGGAAGTGCAGGACGCGGGAGGGAGTGAGCATGATGGAGGGAGGAGGAGGAAGGGGAGCAAGAGCGGGAGCGGGAGCGGGAGGGGCAGACGCTGTGAACAGGAACGAGTACCTCCTGGTGGAGCTAGCGCTGACCCTCCTGCATGTCCGGCTGAAGAGGGAGAGCGTGGACTTGAAGAGCAAGGAGACGCTGCAGATGCTGGACCCCTTCGTTCCCATCCTCACCCGCCTCATGCTCAGCAAGCACGACAGCATCGTCGTGCTCTCCCTCCGCTGCTTCACCCTCGTCCTCCCCGCCGGCCTCCCCGCAGTCCAGGAGGAGCTGCCATGGGCTCTCAGGAACATCTTCTGGCTGATGGAGCGAGGAGGAGGCACAGGGTCGCTGACGATGCAAGCATGCTTCCGAGCCGTCACCGTCCTCCTGCGGGAGGCGAAGAAGAAGATCAGCATGAGCCAGCAGCAGCTCCGCGTCCTCCTCTCCTTCGCACGTCAGGACCTGCAGGAAGCAGAGAGGCAGGGGGTAGCGTTCGCCCTGCTCCGCGCTATCATCGAGAAGAAGCTAGTGTGCGAGGAGGTGTACGACATCATCTCGTCAGTGTCAGAGCAGCTCGTCACCTCCCAGTCAGATCAGACCCGCGCTCTGTGCTCGCAGACTCTCCTCCTGTTCCTCCTCGACTACCCGCTAGGTGCCAAGAGGCTTCACCAGCACATGTGCTTCCTCATCCGCAACCTGGAGTACGAGTACGAGACAGGGCGGCAGGCCGTCCTCCTCCTCCTCCACCACCTCGTCGAGCGCTTCCCGCAGGAGCTAGTGGATCAGTTCCTTGACCTCCTCCTCCTCCCGCTCGTCGCCAGGATCGTCAACGACGAGTCGAACAAGTGCAAGGAACAAGTCGCTTCCTTGCTCAAGGCTCTGATCTCGCGCGCCAACAAGAAGCAAATCGACCATATCCTCGACTTCCTCCTTACCTGGTCCAAGGGGGAGGAGACGCTCCTACGCAGAGCTGCCGCGCAGGTGCTGGGGATCCTGGTGGAGCAGCAGGGGGCAGCAGCGGAGCGATACGTCGACTTGCTCTTTCCCCTGCTGGAGGAGGCAGGGGAGGAGGGGAGGACGAGGAAAGGCGAGTGGGAGACAGTTTACTTTCTGCTGTCCTCAGCGGAGAAGTTGCAAGCAGGAGTACCTAGGATCCAGGAGAGGAAGGGGTACAAAGCTTCCTTCTCCCTCCTCCTCCACGCCGACCTCCTCCGTCACCCCCACCCTTGGGTGCAGACGGCAGCTGCTCGGCTGCTGGGCAGGGTGCTGGGCACGATTGACCCCAAGGCGGAGGGGAGGAAAGAGCTTGTCTCCCTCCTCCAGAAGTGCGGGGGAGCGTTCGAGGTCGCGCGATCTTTGTGCTCGCAGGTAGCTGGGGAGATGTTCGAGGAGAAGCTGGCGGAGCAGATGCTGAAGAACCTGGTACACTTGACTGCCGCCATGCACGCGAACAAAGAGATGGTTGGGGAGGAGGTGGAGATGGAGGACGAAGCGGGCTCTGCGAGCGAGGAGGAAGAGGAGGAGGAGAAAGAGAGTGGGAAGGCTGGCAGGATGAACGGGGTCGATCATGAAGAGGAGGAGGGGAATGGCACGGTCCCTGTGCAGAAAAAGGCGGAGGAGCAGGAGGAGGAGGAGGAGGTCAAAGAGGAAGAAGCTCCAAGAGCTGTTCGCTGGATTTTCGTGAGACTTTCTAACATCGGCAGAAGATACAATGGACAGAGAAGAGACTTCGTTTTCAAGGTCCTCCTCCTCCACCGTCCTCCCCACTCCTTCCTCCTCCTCCTCTCCACCGTCCCCCCATCCGACCACCACCACCACCTCCTCCTCCTCCTCCTCCTCCTCGTTTCGCTCCTTCGTCCTCTAACCCTTCTACAGTTCTTCGCTGCCATGGGCATCAGGTTGGGCAAGTCAAAACTTCTTCCCCTCCTCCCTCACGTCGTCGCTCCTCTCTACCGAGCGCTCGAGACGGATACTGAGAGCAGCAAGGAGGAAGGAAGGAAGGAGCTGGCGCAGGAGGTCTGCGAGCTGCTGCAGGGGGTGGTGGGGCACGAGAAGTTCTACTCGTCCTACAACCAGTGCAGGAGCAGGCAGAAGCAGAAGAAAGACAAGAGGAGAGCAGAGCGAGCCATGGCAAAGCTGCTCGACCCTGCTGGTACAGCCCCTCTTCCTCCCCCTCCTCTTGCTTCTCCTACCCCAAACCATCCACTACCCACCAGTCCTCCTCTCGCTCTTGCTCTTGCTCTTGCTCCTGCTCTCGCTT